AACAGGGAAGGCGATTGTCAGCCACTTTGAGGCACATGAGGCCTGCTGGGTGACCTGGGCCCAGTCCTGGTTCTCTCAGAACTCTCTCAGCCCCACCTGCCTCACAAGGTACCTGTTGTGGGGAGAGAAAGGGAGGGCGATTGTAGGCTGCTTTGAGACACATGAGGCCTGCTGGGTGACCTTGGGTCAGTCACAGTTCTCTCAGAACTCTCTCAGCCCCACCTGCCTCACAAGGTGCCTGTTGTAGGGAGAGAAAGGGAGGGCGATTGTAGGCTGCTTTGAGACACATGAGGCCTGCTGGGTGACCTTGGGTCAGTCACAGTTCTCTCAGAACTCACTCAGCCCCACCTGCCTCACAAGGTGCCTGTTGTAGGGAGAGAAAGGGAGGGCGATTGTAGGCTGCTTTGAGACACATGAGGCCTGCTGGGTGACCTTGGGTCAGTCACAGTTCTCTCAGAACTCTCTCAGCCCCACCTGCCTCACAAGGTGCCTGTTGTGGGGAGAGGGAGGGAAGATGATTATCAGCCACTCTGAGACACAGGAGGCCTGCTGGATGACCTTGGGCCAGTCCCGGTTCTCTCAGAACTCCCTCAGCCCCCCACCTACCTCACAAGGTGCCTGTTGTGGAGAGGGGAGGGGAAGGCGATTGTCAGCCTCCTTGAGACTCCTTAGTGGTGCTTAGTCTACAGTTGACTTATTTTGTAAATAAATAAATAAGAGTAAGGTGAAGGGAAATGCTTATGTTCCCAAGGAAAGATGTGGCTTGAGTCCATGAAAGTCTATGTGGGAACAGAATTTTGCAAATCTAAGGAGGTACTACTACGGTATTTCTTTTTGCTGGAACAAACTAACAGTTGCCCCCTGTAGAGATTCCTGTCTCGCTCCCTATTGTCTCAGTTTATCTTGTTTCATCTCTCAGTTGCATCTGTGTTAATCCTTTTAACAGCTGGTAATGGCCACCACTGACTGATTTGATCACCCTTTTGATGGAATCTAGTTTCCAACCTTTGCAACCTCTCCCCTTTGAAGTAAGGGATGTACCCTTCAGCGCGTGTGATGAACTGTGTTCATGAAAGCGCATTTATATAATTATATTCCACCCCTAAGCAGATTGTGTGTCTGAGAAGTGTGGTCGCTTCCAATGCTCCCTCTAAGCTGTGGAGTCCTGTGAGTAAAAATTCTACTTTGTGAGCTCCTGGCATTAACGTTGTGAGTGAGCAGTTTGGCTGCTGCCTAAATTAGTTTGCTCGGGAGCCCTCCTTCCCGAGCCAAGACAAAAATGTGTGAGCTGGAGGCTAAAAAACTGTGAACTAACTCACACTAACTCATCTTCGAGGGAACATTGGTACTCGCTTCCGATTTACAGCCACCCTCTGAAATGAATGTCCTCCAAAACATCCTGTTCTCAACAGCGTTGCTCAAGTCTTGCAGACGGAGGGCTGTGGCTGTCTTGACGGAGTCCATCCATCCATCTCATGTTAGGGTTGCCCTTGGCCACAAGCAGGGGGGGGGGGTAGGGGTACCAGATCCAGGCTGGGAAACTCCTGGAGATTTGGGGATGGAGCCTGGAAAGCATGTGGACCTCAATGGGGTACAATGCCACAGTGGGGCCGGATGCCATGATCTTAGTTTTTTTGATGTTGAGCTTCAAGCCCACTTTTGCGCTCTCCTCTTTTACCCTGAGCAAGAGGCTCTTGAGGTCCTCTTCACTTTCTGCCATTAGAGTGGTATCGTCTGCATATCTGAGGTTGTTGATCTTTTCCCCCGCAATCTTAATTCCTGCTTGTGATTCATCTAGGCCAGCATTTCGCATGATGTACTCTGCATATATATTAAATAAGCAAGGCGACAATGTACATCCTTGTCGTACTCCTTTTCCTATGCGAAACCAATCAGTTGTTCCATATCCGGTTCTAACTGTCGCTTCTTGGCCCTTATACAGGTTTCTCAAGAGACATGTGAGGTGGTCTGGTACTCCCATCTCTTTAAGGACCTGCCATAGTTTGTTGTGATCCACACAGTCAAAGGCTTTAGCATAGTCAATGAAGCAGAAGTAGATGTTTTTCTGGTACTCTCTTGCTTTCTCCATAATCCAGCGAATGTTGGCAATTTGATCTCTAGTTCCTCTACGTCTTCGAAACCCAGCTTCTTACTTATTACTGTGCCATTAAGCCTGTTTTGTCCCTGCTCTAGCATTATCACCAAAGAACTTGAGATGGGGCGTTACCAGGTGAGGTTTTTTGGGGGATGTACTAAAACTAAGGACAAACACTGCTGTGGGGGGCAGCTGCAACGTCTGTCTGTGGGGGGCGAAACGTTCCCCGCTTCCCTGAGCCCCGGGGTGGTGTCCTTGGACTCCTAGGGGCAAATTCCACCTCCGCGTGTGATGTCCGAGCGGCTCACCTAGGGGGCCCCAGAATGACCTCTCTCACACGCGAGAGGTCATTCTGGCTCCACCAGCTCTCGTTAGGGGGTCTTTAAAAAGTTATGGCCGCCGTGGAATTTGCCCCTAGGTGGCCCAAGGTCACCCAGCCAGCTCCCATAAAGGCTATGTACGATCGCTGAAAAAATAGGAGATGAGAACTGTATGTGTGTGTATATATATGAAACCGCCGTGTGCAATTAAAGGAAAGAAATACGCCGTAAGCTGCAGCGATATGAAGATGGCCTTTTCCGACACCCTTCACAACAGACTAATTATTTTTAATGGCTAGGCGCATGCGCCTCTGGCAGCCAGTTTTCGCCTCCCTCTCCAGTCCCGCGATTGGCCGCGTCGCCGCTCTATTCCCCCGCCTCCCCCGCCGTCGCGCATGCGCGTCCTTTGTGACGCCCTGGTACTTTTCCACACGGTTGTTGACCGGCGCCATTTTGTGGCAGCGCAGGTTTTCTTCGGGTCGGTTGGGCAGAGAAGACCGGGTCGCTGTCAGAGCCGTCCCGTGAAGCGGGATCCACGCCGAGCAGTGAGTCCCGGGGCCGGAAGAAGAGGAAGAGAAACGAAATGGCTGCGTTGGTGGTCGAGACATCGGTAGGGAGAGCGCCTCATGGGGCGGCGGGAACGGAGGGGAGCGGAGCGGAGAAGCTCCCGACGGCTGCCCCCGACTCCCTCCCCCCCGCCCTATTATTTATCCCTCAGGATTTCAAGCTCCTTTGTGCTTGTTTTGAGGGGAAGGGAGAAGGGTTGTTGGTTGTCTTTAAAGATTTTCTTTAAATATTGGAAAAGGTCTCCCCCGCCGCCCGTCCGCCATCTTCTCCGTCTTGTCCGCAGAAGGCGATAAAATGGCGGCGGCGGAGCTGGGCGAGGAGCCTCCCTGCCTCCTTCCCGGCGCCTCGCTCGCTGAGGGGGGGACGTTGTGGCGGCATCAGCCCCGCGGGTGAAACCGTGGGAGGGGTCCGGGGGGGGCGCCATTCCTGCCCCCCTCCCCTTTTCTCTTTTTTTTTTGGGGGGGGTGAAGAGATCGA